CTAGGCGGGGCGGGGGAGGAGCTCGGGGAACGGACGCCACCGTGGGCCCCACGCCGCCCTCCACTCCGGGCAGAGCCGCACAGAAGCGGCCGCAGGGGCTTCCCTGGCACACGAACTGCAGGGAAAAAGACACTGGTGGGCATCCAGCCGGATCCTTCCGGTCAGGAGGGACAAAACCGGCTCAAGCAAAAGCAAGCGTGTTGGACCCCTGTCACAGATAGTCCTGGGAGCGCCGGCTTGGGGCAGGCCCGGCTGGGGGGGGGGGGGGGCCTTCAGGCCCAGGTGGCTCTGTGGACAGGTGGGCAGGACATGCCGTGCCCAGCACGTGCTCAGACGGGTCGGGACAGGCTTCGCCCCGGCCGCTGGCAGCTCAGGTGCGGACTCCGCCCGGTTGCAGGAGGGTGGGCCAGGCCCCACAGGGAGATGTGTCCCCACATCCCGTGGAGCTCCACCCTCCTGCCCGCAGAGGGACAGCCTTCTGTGTCCCTTTGACATCGTCCCCGGGGTCTGGCCGGGTGGGCCCGCGGCCACAGGGGCTCCCGCCCAGCAGCCAAGAGACGAAGGGAGAACGTTAATCCCTCCTTCAGCCACTAAACATCTGTTTGTGACACACCTGTGCCGGGGCAGGCCCCAGGCCGGGTGCCGTGGTCGTGTTGGCACACGAGTGCCCTTGCCAGACTGGCGAGGAAGACGGAAAAACGAACGGGCTGTGCACAGGGCACCCAGGGTTGCAGCGTTGGGGAGCCTCCCCAGAGGAGGAGAAACCCACCATGTGGAGGGCGGTCATGGCTCTCTGGCAAGTTCTGCTGCCCCCCCCACTGGAACCCGCCCCTCAGGGCTCGCGTTCTCTCTCTCTCCCCCTCCCTCTCCGCTCCCCCCTCCTGGCCCTCCCTCCCGGTGCAGGTTTGGGGGCGGCCCTGCCGTGAACCATCTGTATGTGTGCTCCATCTGCCAGGTGGAGATAGAGGCACTGGCCAAGCGCAGGCGGATTGAGATCGACACCTTCATTAAGGTGCGTGCGGGTGGGGGTGGGGCGCCTCTAGCCTCCGCTGGGGCCACGCGGGGATTTGGGGACTGGAGAGCCGCGTGCAGCCAGGCTCTATCTGGAAGACATTCTGTTCTGTGGGGAGAACAGAGTGGCCGGAGGCCTGGCCAGACATTTAAGATTTTACCAGCAGGAGGGCGGGGTTCAGGAGGCTCAGGTCCATCTGCCGGGTGTGCTGTTAAGCCACGGGCACTGTGGCTTGGGGCTGGATGGTTCTTTGTCGTGGGGACTGGACTGCCGGTAATAGGACAGTCAGCATCCCTGGCCGCCTCCATGCCGGCCGCACGAAAATGACCTCCAGACACTGGCAGTGTCCCTTCCCCCTCCTACTGAGAACCATGGGTTCTACCAACTGACCCCGAAAGGGGTGTTAAGTGAAAAAAAAAATCAGGTGGCAAAACAGGACCCAGGACGATGCCGTGTTAGGAAAGGGGTTTGGGCAGTGTGGTGCTGGGGCCCCGGGCACACCCCGGCCCCGGGGCTGTTCAGAACAGGCGACCCGGGGCCATCCATCATTCAGTAGCAGACGCGTAGGTGAAAGACCTTAAAGGACACTGCGCTCTGTGCCCACGAGAAAACGCGTCAGAATGGTTAACGAGGGAGCGAACGGCCGCAGTCCATGAAGTGCGGGAGAACCGCATCTGCGTGCCTTCTCCCTTGGATCAGAGTCCTTGAAAAGAGATCAGGGTGGCGGGGCCGCGGGGGGATGTTCCTCTGAGCTTGTCTGGGGGCCCCGCGGTTTCTACCTGGAGGATCTGGTGTTTTCTGAGAGTCGAGGGTGCGGGTTGGCGGGGTGCTGGGACCATCCCGCTGACCCTCCCCTCTGCTCCCCCGGGCCGGCCCAGCTCAACAAAGCCTTCCAGGCCGAGGAGTCCCCCAGCGTCATCTACTGCATCAGCATGCAGTGGTTCCGGGAGTGGGAAGCCTTTGTCAAGGGCAAGGACAATGGTGAGTGGAGCACTGGCCTGGCACTCCGCCCACCCGCTGGGAGGGCCCTGGGGCTTCAGATCTGCGGGGAGGGCCCCAGGAGGCGGGAGAGGGGGTGCCTGGGGTGGTCGGTGGCTGCCCAGCAGGTTTCGGCGAGTGCCTGCCGCCTGGAGGAGCGGAGAGCACGGGTGTTATTCCAGCCCGGCATGCTAGGGTCGCTGTCCCCACCGGGCTAGCTAGCGGGGGCCAGGCCACCCAGTGTCCCGGAGCCACGCCTTCTTGCTGTAGTGGGAGAGAAGCTGTCTGGCTCCACCCCTTCCCTCCCCTTCTCTCCTGTTCTCCCGTCCCTGCTGGTGCCCAGAGGAGGCCGTTCTTTCCTCCTGCCAGACCCTTTCCTTTGAGGGTTCTCTTGCCCTAAATACTAGATTTTAGTGGATAGATGGCTTCAAGCTCTTAGGAAAGACAGTGGACACAGTGTCCTCTGACCCCATGACTTACAGAGGCGGAGACAGGCCCCATCACAAGGCAGCTCCCAGAGCCCTCTACAGTCCCCTGCAGTCAGAAACAGCCGAGCCTGAGCCCTGGCCTGCCTGCGGCCACCCTCACCACCCTCAAGCCCCACACTTGGGCTCCCAGACCGGGGCTTGGGGACCTGGCAGGGGCGGCAGAGCCAGTGGGTTCTGTGAACGGGACATTTGCCTTTCAGGGCATAAGCTCCAGCCAGGACTCTGGGAAAGGGGAGGGAGGGAGGGACCTCACCGCTGTCCAGCCCGTGCCAGGCGGCAAGGTCCCAGGGACACCCCGAGGCCTCCCTAGTGTTGGTGGAGGCAGTCGGGCTTGGCTCTGATGGAGAAACGGGCTCTGGAGCTACAGCCCTACCTCCGGGCCCAGCCTTATTCCTGCCAGCTCTTACCTGGGCTGTTACTTCCCCTGCTTCTGTGACGGCTCGCAGATCAGGTGGTCGAGGCTTCCATGAGGTTTCGGGAAGGGTGCTCGGCGCGTGGCAGCTGCCGTCCACAGTGAGGGGTCTGAAACTAGCTCGTGGGTCCCTGAAGTCCCCCGTGCGGGCTCCAGGGATGCTACGAGTCCCTTCTGGCTCTCAGACTTCCCCGCACGAGCACGCACCTGCCCCTGGAAGGACGTCACACTGACCCCCTGCGGCCCGGACAGCCTCTCGGGGGCCACAGGTGTTGGAGTGACGCCTTGAGAATGGCTCTTACCTGTTGAGAAGCGGAGGGCTGGGGGGCGGTGGGGGGGGGGGGCGGTGCTGGGGTTTCTTCCCGCCGCTGCAGAGGCCCAGAGGTCCTGAGCCTGAGCTGTTTCTGTTCCAGAGCCCCCCGGGCCCATTGACAACAGCAGGATCGCACAGGCCAGGGGAAGCGGCCACATTCAACTGAAGCAGGGTGAGTTTCGCCGGCTCCAGCCCTGGCCTTCTGGGCCAGCCGGGCTCCCCCCCATCCCCGCCCCCCAGCTGCCAGTCACAGTCTTCCCAGGAGCCCCCGCCGCTCACACCCATGCCCTGTGTCGGCCTCCACCTGCCCTTTGTGTGAACCCCATACCCCCGGAAATGGGGCGCAGAGATGCACCCTCTGGGGTCCTCAGAGCACAGACGTCCTGCTGGGGCATCCTGGATTTGCATTTCACCGCTTTGCACGGAAACGCATAGTTGCGCTCCCTCCCCTTCGGGGCCTGCACCTCCCAGAGCCCCCACTGCCGAAGACCATGGCATCACCAAGGGAGTGAGGGGGCAGACGTGAGCCCGGCCCCGACCCGGTGCCCTCTTGGGCCCTGCAGGAGCAGACTATGGGCAGATTTCGGAGGAGACCTGGGTCTACCTGAACAACCTGTATGGCGGTGGCCCCGAGATCGCCATCCGACAGAGTGTGGCCCAGCTCCAGGACCCAGAGAGCTTACACGGGGAGCAGAAGATCGAAGCCGAGACCCGGGCCGTGTGACTTGGTGGGCCAGTCTGTAAGTCCCCTCCCTTTCCAGAGACCCTCTCGTGTCCCTGGCGTGTTGGAAGAGTGCGTCCCCGAACACACCTTCCGGGAGGCTGTTGGGAGAAACCCTCCCGTGGGCCCTGCCGGGCTGAGTGCCCCAAGTGTCCCCACAGGCCCCTGCCTTCGCCCTCCTCCCGGCAGAGGGCGCGTTTGTACCCCGAAGACGGGCCGGCCACTTTGGAAACCCAGATGTGTAAAGAGGCAGAAAAGTTGTTTCGGTTCAAGTGAGTCGTGCCACAACCGGGAAGCGCATCCACCGCAGGCTGTTCAAACGGCCGAGGCTCCGCGACATTCGTTAACTTGGGTGTCCGTCCCCGTGTGCCACAAGCGTTGTGTCCCCAACCTGCCCTCGCGCTAACTCGGGCCCAGCTTTTGTCCCTGGGGCTCGCAGTCAGGGACCGTGGCCGTCCAGCACCCGGACTCACAGCCCAGAGCTGGGGAGCAGGGTGCCGAGCACGCGAGGTCGGGGTGCGGGGGCCAGCTCCTCCCTGGGCCCCGCTTCGCCCGACTCCGTGGTCACAGACAGGCTCCGGAGTCCCACACTGCTGTCAGCGTTTCTCCTGCACACTAACGACTCACGCGCGATCGGGATCCGGGGTGGGGGTAGGACTTGTCAGTAGAGATGGTTCCTGGAGGCAGCTCCGTCCCTGTGCTGCCCACGGATTGGCTGGAGCTTGCCCCCACCGGGGAACCGGATGACGAGACAGAGGTCCCCCGCTGTCACTGTCTCTTGCTGCTCACGCGGCTTCCCTGGGGGCTGGCGCTACAAAACATAAGCTACCCCTTTCTCCCCGCACTGTTGCGCACCCGTCGTGGAAGTATGTTCTGGATGATGCCGAGCGAGGCCGCGGCTGGGGCGGTCGGGGTGAGCACGGGGGGCCTGGGTCTTGCTTCCCGCGGCACTGAAGCCCCTGGATGAAGCAGCTGGGGCGGCTGCCCCCGGGGCCAGAGGGAGTGGGGGATGGGGAAGGGGTCCTGGAACCGAAGCCCCCACACGCCGTGGCCTTCAGTCTCCGTAGAAGCAGATGTCGGTGGAACTGCCAGGCCGTTCAGGCAGAGCCCCGAGGCTCTCGAAGCTGAAGCTCGCAGCTCGCTCCTGCCGTCTCTACCTGGCTCCTTCCCCACCGAGGCAGCATGTGATCAAAGAACCAGCCGCTGTGGAATCCCTTGACCTTTGTCACAGTCTTCAGAGAGCCGCAGCGGCCACCGCGCCTCAGAGCCGGGCGGCCGCACGTCACCCTGGCCGGGACGCACAGATTCCGCGCCAGGTTGTGAGCTCGCCCCAGGTCTGCGCGGCCTCGTTTGTGTCCAGAATGTCATAATAAATACGTATGCGTCTCCCACAGCCCACGCTGTCGTCTGTGCGTCCGCGCGGGGGGTCGGGGGGTTGCGGAGCCGGGGTGATCGGCGTCACCGATAGCTGTGCCAGCGGGGGCCTCCGCGTGGCTCTGAACCGGTGTCTGGAAGCCGCAGGAGCGGAAGAGGAAGAGGAGTCTGCCTACACGCGCCGGCCTTTCCCGGCCCCAGAGAAGCAGGGGCGGGGGCCGGGGGGTGGGGGGGCGGGTGTCGAGGCCCCGCATCCCACAGGCCGGTCCCCTCCTGGCGCTGCGCCCTGGCCACTCCGAGTAACGCCGCACCGAGCAGGGGCCGCCCTCCCTGGGCCGGGCAAGGACGCCCACGGCCCCGGGGACCTTTCCCTCGGCGCACAGCCGACATTGTGCCGGCGTCACTGCATCGCGGTGGCCGGTGTCCAGCTCCCTGACGTTTAGTGACGCTCGTGTTTTATTTGCCCCACGGTTTGGGGTGGTTTTGTTGCTACTCGTACCTGGGGTCTGGTGAGGAGAGAAGAATTGGCGGTTTTTATGTGTTAACTTGAAACACACATGCTCGTGAGATCCCCTCACACGTGAGTGTGCAGAAGCACGTTCAGCGCCGAGAACGGTTCCTCGGCGTCACCATCACCGGTCCCCACGGACTGCTGTGGGTCCCTCCTGAGCACGCCTGCCACCTCACCCCACCCCAGAGGTAGCCCCTGGCCTCCGTGGCTGCGTGCGTCTGTGTCTAAGCAGTATCTTTAGCTTTGCTCGCATCAGAACGTCGTCTACACAGAATTCCCATGGTGCAGATTTCACGACTGGCTTTTCTTGCTTACCTTGGAGGATGAGAGTGAACCAGTTCTGTTGATTCGGAGTTTTGGAGACACTCAGTCACTGCATTACAGGAAGGTGGGGGAGAGATTGCGAGGTACCACTGGGCCTGAAAATGCTTTACGTCTTCCCTCGAAGCACCAGGCTTTGGGACGCTGGGCTGGTTCAGTCCGTTCAGCGTCCGTCTCTTGGTTTCGGCTCAGGTCATGATCTCACGGTTCGTGAGATTGTGCCCCGAGTTAGGCTCTGCGCTGACAGCGTGGAACCTGCGGTCTCCGCCTGTGGATTCTCTCTCCCTCCCTCTCTCTGCCCCTCCCCCGCTCACACACAGGCACTCTCTCCAAATAAATCTTAAAAAGAAACACCAGGTTTTAAGTGGCTCGGCCAAACTTAGGTGCTGGAATCCCGAGACAAAAGAGGAGGCTGTGGATGTTCACCCCACGGACTGCGGACTGGGTGGGGACGGGAAGCACCCACCGGGCAGGGCAGCAGGGGAGGCCCCTTCCTGTCTTTCCCTCCTGCCAGCTCCCCCCCCCCCC